GGGTCCATGGTTATGAGTCTGGATGCATCGTGCGGAAGCCTTACCTTTGGAAGGGTTGGCCGTAGTCTTGGCACGATGGATGGGACCCCGCAAGTTAGACTTGTTTCCATGGTTTGGTGAATTCACAATCTCGGATGCACCCATCGTTGCTCGGAGCGTTCGTTAGGGTGGATGGAGCGTGAATGCACTCAATCAAGAAGTAGAATCGTCGAGACAGTACTAGAATCGGTCAAAACAAGAAGATAGACTTCTGGCGCGATGTCTCGAGAACTTGGTGCGGGAAGACAAGAGTTGACGCATGGCAACAAACCCCGCCGTCTCGCAACAGTTCCAACGCGTCGCGGCAATTTTCTATGTTCTACGATTTTTCCGATTTTCGTACTGTCCTTTCAATTCTAGTTGTGAAAGATATTTTCAGTTTTTCCTACGTGTAAAATTCCTATGTTTTTTACGCATTTCGGATGGTCTTTCCAATGCGGACCTTTTTATGCTTATGCCACAATGTTAATCAAAATTACGCACATAAATATCTAGAATCTTTCAAGTCTCATCCACTCATTCTAAATCAATTGCCAAAATAAATTTTAGGAATCAAAATTAGAAATCCTTCCCAGTGGAGTCGCCAAAAAACTGTAGGGAATATTTCAAACTCAACTTTAAGCCCCACTGTGATCATGCCTTTACGCATGGTGGCGTCCAAAGGGAAAGAAGTTAGAGATAAAAGAGTCGCCAACAAGTTTTAGTAACTTGTAAACCGTTCACGAGTGTGAAGGTTACACCCCATTCAAGATCACGGAGATCGCTAACTCCATAGTGGTTTGGAACCATGACTGGATATTCGGGGATGATGGTACGAATCCAACCTAAAAGAGAGTGAACCCGCCCTATATCGGCCTCTACTTAATTCTTGTGATATTCATGTACACTTACCGATCAACATACATACATCAAATTAATCTTAAGCATATTTAGTCTACGTTGGTTGATTATTAATGCACAAATAAATCTATTATTGGTGATCACTTGAATTAAAATCATATTATCCTAAAACAAATTACTAATTACTTATTAGGCGTGATTTCAAGTACAAATTCCCTTTAGACCTGCAAGAAAGGGCGTGATCAAGCAATAACAATAAATCATGAATAATCAAGCAATGTAATAATTAATTAACACAACAATCATCATCATAATAAAAATATCATAATATGATTAGAACATTAAGATCCTAGGCATGATACTAAACGGATTAATAACAAATCCTAGCATGTCACTAATAAAAATCAAAGCATTACCCTAAACATGATACTAGAAACATGGTATTAGAAATATTAATTAACACCCTAAACATGATACTAGGAATCAAAATCAACATCCTAACATGATACTTAAAGAAAGAAATAAATCAAATAAAGTAAATAAATCAAATAAGAATTGAAATATAGATTTGGGACCAAACCCTTAGAACTATCAACCTTTCATGCCGAGGTCGAAGGCAACTTTGAGATTGGCTAGGAGTATTCCAGGCTCGTGAAGGAAGTATGGTGTGTGAGTGGGAAAAGTATCAAGGATGTATAAGGACTTGTTTAGGCTAGGCTAAGAAAAGAATAAAGAGAGAGAAAAAGCTTTTAGCTTAGAGAGAAGATTAGATGATGATTGTTGGTGAATCAAAACGGGGTGAAATGACCTCTATTTATAGGGAAAAAAGAGGGCCTAAGGGTTAGAAAAAGAGTCAGAAATCAATCAAAGTAAAACAGATTCCATCGTGGCGCAACAGCCTTGTCGCGGCGCGACAGCCCTGTCACGGTGCGATGGTGCTGTCGCTCAGCGATGGGTTTTTGAAAAGATTGAATTCCTACGGAATCCGATTTCCAATTGACTTGGGTTAATCAAATTTCCGTACGTATTTTAATTTTCACCGGGATTAGGATCATTGAAAAACAGATGTTTTACCCAAAGTAAAGTTCTTAAATCTTTATCTTTTCGAAAATAGGATAAATTAGAATCTTCTAGAGGATTCTAGAAGGTAATAATAAATCCTAATGGATTTAGGATCGAAAACAAACTTCTAGAAGCTTGTAATAAATCCTAATTGGTTTAGGAATGATGTTAAGGTTAATGGACCCTCCACATGGTCATTGGGTCGTAGGTAAGGCTTGGTTTAATATTTTGGCCATAACTTTTTTGTTATAAGTCGGAGTTGGGCTTATAATATATCGTTGGAAAGCTCTTTTCAAACCCCATCCAACTAAACACTTATTGGACCAGGATTATAGACCAAAATAATCAGGTTTGGACACAAAATGAATGATTTTAAGGACACGAAATGAATGATTTTGGGTTTAAAGACATGAAATGAATTATTTTAGATTGAAACATTTAAGGAAAGGTTAGAAATATGGTCAAGGCTAAAGGGAAATTCACGAGACTTTTCAACTCTTCACCTAACTCGATAATCAAAGACGTGAAAGGTATTCATCATTGGGTTTGGTTTTTGGGGAGACACAATCAGGTGTCTACAGCGGCTAACCACACCATCTGGCCGGACAAAGTAACCCCTATAAAACTAATCGAGTAACCCATGTAATAATAACTGAGTAACCTCTAACACTGACTAATTAAGTAACCATTATCTATAACAATTGATTGAGTAACCACTATAACACTGACCAAATAACCCCTATAGCACTAACGAAGTAACTATGATCTTGTAATAGTTGGTGACACGGTTTGGCCAGCTACATATAAAAATTTGTGATTATATATATTATAAATGGATCTTATTTTAAGGAACTTTTTTAAACGAATTTGATGATGGAAATAGAATTGAGTTATAGGATATTTATTAAAAGTTATGATTAATTTTGTATACATGAAATATTAGAATTTTATTGATAATAAAACTCTATGCAAAAATTTTATCTTAAAAAATCTATCCAAAAAGCGCTTACTTAGCATAATATGTGTCACAATAATACCTGTTTAAATCCTACGTGGCGCGACACTTGGCGAAAAACTAAAATGCTAAGTGTCGCTATCTCGTGGCCTAGCTGCGAGACCGACTTTATTTATTAGTGATATGATATGATATGATATGATATGATATTAGATTAAAGTTTATTATAAAAAATTTGTTCGTAGAGTTATTTTTCCACCTTTTTATGACAAACCTCATATATTTTAATCTTCAAATTATGTTAATTTCTCTATCTTTATTTTATATATTTTTCATTTTTTCAAAAATTACCATCACTTCTCTCATCATAACTTCTAATATCATCTTCACTTTCAAATTCATAACAAAAATTCTAATCTTATTTTTTAAAAATAATAACCAAACCAACGACATGCACAATTAATATATATACCCCGTGCTTTTAGCACGGATTACGGATATGCTTTACTACATACAATAAGTCAGACATCGCCCAATCCATTAACAAGTTGCAAGTCATAAATCTAAAAGGGCTATGCTCTCCAAAAATGCTTACTTTATTTATATATATATATTAGATTAAAGTTTATTATAAAAAACTTGTTCGTAGAGTTATTTTTCCAACTTTTTATGACAAACCTCATATATTTTAATCTTCAAATACTGTTAACTTCTCTATCTTTATTTTATATATTTTTCATTTTTTCAAAAATTGCCATCACTTCTCTCATCATAACTTCTAATATCATCTTCATTTTCAAATTCATTAAAAAAAAATTGTAATCATATTTTTTAAAAAAATAATAACCAAACCAACGACATGCACAATTAATATATATACCCCGTGCTTTTAGCACGGATATGCTTTAATACATACAATAACTTAGACATCGCCCAATCCAATGACAAGTTGCAAGTCATATATCTAAAAGGGCTATACTATGGTACATACAATAAGTTAGACATCGCCTTATCCAATAACAAGTTGCAATTCATAAATCTTAAAGGGCTATACTCTAGTACATACAATAAGTCGAACATCGCCAATAAGTTAGACATCACCCAATCCAACAACAAGTTGCAATTCATAAATCTAAAAGGGCTATGCTCTAGTACATACAATAAGTCAGATATTGCCCAATCTAACAACAAGTTGCAATTCATAAATCTAAAAGGGCTATGCTCTAGTACATACAATAAGTAAGACATCGCCCAATCCAATAACAAGTTGCAATTCATAAATCTAAAAAGGCTATAATCTAGTACATACAATAAGTCAGACATCGGCCAATCCAATAACAAGTTCCAATTCATAAACCTAAAGAGGGCTTTACAAAATTATGAAAGTTACAGTGATCGTTTAAATGTGTATTTTGTGAACATTTTTATTTACACCTGGTGCAGGATGCACCAAGGTTATTTTTTTTTGCTCGATGATTAAATGAGCAATAATCATCCTTGGGTGCACTATTCACCAAGTGTATATGATAACCTTTGTGAATTTTGTTGACTATGTCAGTGAGTCATCCCCTACCTTATAAAAAGTTTAACATAACTCTTATGAAAAGTGCATGGACATTTATCCCTTCCTTATTAAAAGTTTAACATAACTCTTATGAATAGTGAATGGACATTTATATCCCTAAAAATGTTTTTTTTTTTAATAAATTTGTCCTCAATTGATTGCAAAAGTCTTAAAATTGTCTTTTAAATCCCCTAAATTGATTAATTATATGTAATTAAAATGGTGTGTTTATTTCAATATGTAGATAGAACTCGATATTTTTTTTACTGTTCTCTCGCTAAATTTAGTAGTTTTATTAAAATTTCGAACATTATTTATCTACACAACCTCCAACACATTTATCACCTATATGCAAATAATTATATAAAATATCATGCAAACCAACATAAAACATAAATGCCAATGATAATAATTTCATAAAGTGAGATCGGTTATATGAACCAAAAGTGACTACACAAGTCTAAAAATTATAAGAGAAAATTTAACACATTTTGCTTGGCCCGAACTAACTGTAGCCATTCAACCCGACCCGACTCGTCCCGTGCGTAACTCAACATTAATCGAAGGTGTCAAGACTCAAGACTCTCATCCTCCTCATTTGCCAATATCCCGAAAAACCTAAACCCTAAACCTTCGAAACCAAACAACAATGGCGGACGTAGTACAATTAAGACTAGAGCGAATGATTCCAGACCTAGACGACCTGGAGAAAAGAGGTCTCTTCAATAGCAGAGAAATCAATGAAATTGTGAAAAAGAGAAGAAAATTTGAGTACAGACTCCAAAGACCAAGCCCTTTGAAGCAAGATTTCTTAGACTATATTGATTACGAGAAACAGCTTGATCGACTCCGTCTTCTTCGGAAGAAGTCTGTTTCTCGGGAGCTCAAGGATAAAGGGAATAAAAAGCTCAAGAAATCGCGGTCCGATGTTGCCGGTGTTCGACGGATTATTGAGATTTATCGCATTGCTACTAGCCGCTTTAAGGGTGACCTTGATATTTGGTTTCAGTATTTGGAGTTTTGTAAGGAAAGAAACAATGGCAGGATGAAGAAGGTATTTTAAGTTTTTGTTAGCTTTTATTTGTAATTGATATGTTATACAGAATTATGTTATATGAAAGATCGCATTTTGATTTTGAAGATATTGGATTACAATGGGATTACAATGCTAATATAATAGTGACACAATTTGGAAGAATTCATTTTGATGAACTTGTTTGGCTAAAAATAATTTTTTTTTTTCAGTTGAGGATTGGTGGGAATTAGAAGAATATTTGAGTTGTAATTCGGGTTTTGTAAGGCGGACAATTATACGGAGGCAATTTTGATGTCGATTGTGTAGTTTTTTGACATGGCCTACTTAGCTAGAAATGCAATTATAATGTATGTCATAATCAATTGAGCTTCAATTTAGGGCATAAGGAAAAAAATGCTTGAAGTCTTGTTTCCTTTCATTGGAAACTTTCAAGCTACATATCAAAGTTAATTGTTCATTAGTTTTCAGTCATACAAGTGATTTCTATCAGCGTTATGTTTGACGTCACATTCACAAAATTCTCCTAGATACTGATAATTAAAAAAAAAAAAATGGAATATTTGAGTAATTGTAATTATGAAATCGGATGCTAAAATTCAACATATGTTGCAAAATAATACAATTTGAAATCAACGTGCTCTGAAATATACTAATCTAGTACATTACCACTATAAATTTATGATGAAATTGTGATTGGAGTTGGTGTAGGACTTGACAACTCTGATAAATAATATAATTTGAGTTAAGAATGTAATTACCTTCATTTGGGCTATACTGGAGTTGGTGTAGGACTTGACAACTCTGACATCGATAAATCCATCACTCATTATGTGGTGTCCGGTGTTCAGCAAATGAAAAGCTGAAAGCAGTGAGGCTTTAATTTGTTAAGTTTCTGTTGCTGCACCATTTAGGAATTAATTTATCGCGGCAGTCTAATTTTTGTCCAATATCTGATTTGTTTGATGGAAGATCTTTTGGCTTACTTTGTTCATCTTCTTGTTCATATCACTTTCTCAGTTTATTGTATAATAGCAGTTAAGCACTGATCACCGAGTTCCATGCTTATATTATTCAAACAACCTTTTTATTTATTATTTTTTGAATTTACAGATACAAAATATGGACTATTTGCTTATGGCTTATGTGGCCTCTAATATTACCAGTTATTGTACCCACTTCTGTCAATGAAATTTGAGTTTATAGGAATCATGTCATTGTATTATTAAATTATAATCCTATGTTTTTATATTACTTAAAGCATTAAAAAGTGTATTTCGGATTATTATTGAAAGCTATCGTAATCTTAAGAAGTTACATGCTTTATTCTTTGCTCCTTTGGGTGATACAGGTCTTGGGTCAAGTCATCAGATTTCATCCCAAAGTACCTGCAGTTTGGATCTATGCTGCTGCGTGGGAGTTTGACCATAACTTGAATGCAAAAGCTGCACATGTCCTCATGCAAATGGGTTTGAGATCTTGCCCAACTTCCGAAGATCTTTGGGTTGAGTTTCTGCGCATGGAACTTACTTGCCTTAATAAGTTGAAAACACGTAAAGTTATTTTAGGGGAAGATGACGGGACACTGATTCATGACGATAAAGATGTTGAGGTGAAGCAGTGGCAAGATGAGAACAAAGATTTATTCATGGCTCTTGAAGAAGTAGAAGGTGAAGGTGCTCAAAAGGAAGAATCAAGCAAGAAATTGGATGTTTTCCGTGAACAGGGATTTAAGCTATTCCAGAAAATATATGAAGGTGCTATTGATGCTATTCCATCTAGTTTTGGTTTGAGGAAGAAGTTCCTTGAGATAGTGGAAGTTACAGACTTGGCACATTCAGAAGAAATGCGAGCTGCGATAATGGCTGACATGAGGAGAGATTTCTCAAATGAACCTGTATATTGGAGCTGGCTTGCCCAGATTAAATTAAAAGATCCACAATGTACTCCAGATATTAGCACAGATAGTGGGCGTTCCCAGGTGGAAGAAGTCATTAAGGTATGAAGTTTGACTCTGTTGTCATCAATTGTCAGTGTCTTTGTTCTGAGTAAAGGTAACGTTGTTGACTTTTAAGTAGTCAATTGAGATGCTTTTACATTATTCAGGTGTCAGTCATTAAAATTCTTACAATTCTATAACATTGTCTGACAGCCCCTTGTGTGGGACACAATGTTTTGATGCTGTTATGATAGCTTTCATAATCTTTCCAATTTCCTGTGCTTTGAGATGGATCATGGATTTGGATCTGTTGAAGTAAAGTGAATGCTCCAAGTCATTTTACACCCTTTTGCTGGAAAGCCTATTCTAAGGAAAAATCAGTAATCCACCCACAATTTATTTAAATTGCGTTATGTTTACTAATACGCCCTCAATCATTTGTAGTATGGGATACTGGGATGTTTAGTGCTAGGAGGTAGACAACCAAATGAAACTGGAATAATATTTAGCATTTATTTTTGGATACAGATTGGCCTTGAGGCTTCAAAAAAGGGACAATGGAGCTGAAATTTAAAATGGAGGGAGTGAAATGTTAATACTTTTAACCTTAATTTCTGAGAGAAAATAAATAGAAAAACTTGCAAATTGATAATGCATTGTATCATCTAGAATATTGACTAGCATCAAATGGAAGTAAGGAGGACTACCTATCTGCTAGACCATTAAAGGCTTGATTTAGATGTGATCCCATCATTTGGTGCTACACCGTACTAGCCATGAAACTCACTTCAATCTTTGGGGAAACTTGCTCCAGAATTCAGATCATGAATGCCCTACTTTAATTGCTATTGAGTTCATAGACCAAAGGAACATGTATCTCGCATAGCTCAAATAACATGTGGGGTTGATTATTGATTGTGCCACATTAACTTAATGCACATGCGATGTCCTTAACTTTATTTGGAACATATTGACAAAGGCTTGTCTTCGTCATTAAATCCTCCTAAAACTTTTTTGTACCCCCATTTAAATGCCATAAATAAATTGAAAGAAAAGAATAATTATTCTTTTAAGAGATAGATTGAGCTTTCTTAGTTGTTTTTTTTTTTTTTTTTTCCTCTATGGCATCATGTGAATGCTTATATATTTATATCAACCTTTGGGAATTGTGGAATCCTCGATTCAGGGGAATTTTCTGTTGAGCATGGACGACATACATTTGTGACTCTTCTTAAGATGTGTCTAATTAGTAATTGCACCTGCAGTCCTTATTTTCATTATTGGCATTTAGTTGATCCTGATATTGATGCGACATTTTTCAGGTATATGAAGAAGCTATACAGTCAATTTCATCTGTTGCTATGTTTGACATGTACGTAAAGTTTTTATCTGAAGTCATCAGTCTAAAAGGAGAAATGGGAAGTTCTGGATGTTGCATTGCATCAAAGGATGCAGGAGACTATATATCACACCTGATTAAGGTCTTTGAAAAAGCTGATACCTTAGGGTGTCTTGATGAAGATCTTGCCTGTCAGTATGTAATGTTGTACAAGAATATGGGTAAATTTGACGAAGCGATGAAATTAGCAGAGAGTTTCTGTGAGGGAAAATATTCAGATTCAAGACAATTGTGGGTTCTAAGGGTCACAGAACAAATGAAACACATTAAAGAATCTGGTACTTCTTGTAAGGCTCACCTTTCATCTATCTTTGACCTCTTGAAAAGGTTGGTGAAAAAAGTAGCTGTCTCTGATGACGAGGGCTTGTGGGTCATGGTATGTAAATCATTGTCGGTCTCATAAAGTCTATTACAACTGTCAATCCTGTGATCTTTGTATTGATATTTTTGTCTTCTTTTTACAATCCTCATAGCTTATAGAAACGCCCCTAATTTTTGCATCTATCACTGCTTTCAGTATCATCTCTTACCATTGTGCCTTGTTTAGCCCATTGTTCTCTAATTTCTGAGAAAACTCAACTGCAGAATAGCAGTACTTATCATATTGTTAAGCACAAAAGCGTGCAAAAGATTTTGCTTTTATCATCACTCGTTGCATTAGGTGATCCGGTTGAGAGATTAGCCAAAGAGGGATTATTTCCTCTCCTTATCATCAACTCCCATGTCCTTCTCTGAGCTATCATACTTTTTGTAATCATCCCTTTCTCCTCTCCTAATTGAACTATTCTCTCTCTGTTCCTCTCTATGTAGTCCTTATCTTTGGCATCTTATGTTTTCAAGATGGTATTCAAACTTTTTTGTTTTGTTGAGCTTTTGAATTTTGAAGCTTTAGCTAATTTTCTTCAATCAACAATCTTATTTAGTTAATCATATCCTAATACTTATGTTGCAGGCTCTTGAGCTCTTTGCAAATGACAAAAAATACTTTGGCAAGTTGGTAGACCTTGCCCTTGTTTCACTGGCTAAAGATGGAGGCCAGGATGAAGGATTCTCTCTCTCTGCTGTTCTCGTTAACTTTATTTGGCAGAACAATGGTATTCAACAAGCAAGAGACTTCTATAAGCGGTACGTAGTTAGATTTGAAGTCTACTAGACTAACACCATGGGCTAGGCAATAACTGCTACTTATACATTGGTCAAATATTCCTTTTTGGATGTCCTAAAATAGTGGTTATATTTTCAACAATGATAAATGAAAGCAGTTAGTGTGCCAATAGGAATATTTTTTTTTTTTTTTTTTTTTTTTTTTTTTTTTTTTTTTTTTTTGGTTAAAAGCACAATAGAAAAATTTTGATTAATAGATGTATAAATGGTAGGTAATACTGCAATAAATGATGTTCCATTAATTCTTTCCATTCTTTAAATCCAACTACTAAAATGGAACTGGGTGAGTTACTTTTCTCTCTCTGCGCCAAATTACTTGCAACTATTTTTCTAGGCCATCCTAATTTCGTTGCATAATTTCTTTATTAAGCAACTTACCTATCAATCCAAAAATCTAGCCTACTTCACCCCACCCAACCCTAGTATTTTTACCCTACTTGCACACCCAATCTCTTAGTGTTATTGCAAAAGGCAATTTTCTTTGGTGCATTAGTTAATGTCCCTGATCCAAACACATTAATTTTTCCTTTTTTGGTAGTTCATGAAAAAGGCCTGGCCCGTGGTCCTACTGCCAGTCCAGTTGGAGCCTAGACACCCTCAGGGTGGGGTAAAGGGATGGAAATCTCACCCTCAAAGTTCCCCTAGTGGAGGGTTTGAACCCATGATCTCCCAAAGCCTTAAGTTTTACTTCTTAACTAGACAGGACTAGCTCTGTAAACACTTTACTCTGATTGCGAAGGAAGTAATTGCTAAATTTTATCTTGTGATTCTGCAGAATTCTTAATTTACCTCACCCAGGAGTAGCCATTCACAAGTACTGCATTGAGCTGGAGATCTCATCTGGTGACAAAGATAGTCTTTCGAATGCTCGTAAGCTATACAAATGTGCACTTGCAACTGATAGTGAGGACATCAGCCTGTGGCAAGAATATTACTCAATGGAGACACAGGTTAGTTTCTTGTATAATAGAACTTGCTGGTTATTTGTAGATCGAGTGATAAGAATTACTGAAGTAGGTTCTATTGGGCAAGAACTTCTTTCGTTTCTTAAAGCTTGCAACAATTTGACTTTTGCGCTCTTTATTCATATTGTAACTTTGACTGCACTTTTAATTTTTTCACTTGTCTCCTACCTTGGGCAATGCCCGGGTGATTTGTCAACTGTGAACAATATAATTTATTTGCTTGATGAACTGAGACCATATAACTCTTAAGTCACCAAACTTGATTGAATCCAACCTGAACCCTACCTGATTAGTAAACGTTACTTTTACCCAATTTGGGCTGACTTGAATTGAACAATCCTTTTTGTCACCTTCAACCTTAAATCACTTTTATAAATTAATTAATTAATTATATGTTCACTTGTATAATACTATAATGAATGCAATTGTAAATATAGCCGATTATGTAATATGTTACGCTAAATTGTTTGATAACAATGCAGCAGACCTGTTGTAGTCTTGTATATTAAATATAAAATACTTACAATGACAATTGATGATTGATATAAATGTTCTCCATTGGTTGTAGATAGGTTATAATAGCAATTAAAATGTATAACAGGAGAATTATACTATAATATATAAAAATAAATCATCAAAATGTGAGTGAAAACTTCAACTTAATAATTTCGTTTTTTATCTTTAGTTGAAAGTCTTGTAACACTTCTGAGTTTTGACTTTGGCAATATTGATCCATTTCATGCTGACTATATTTCCTTATAAACTTAAATGTTATTGGATTTTACCTCAATGTATGTTTCTCTTAATGTTAAGATTTTAAAATATTTATTAATAGATACTTATACGGAGTAGTTAGTTACTAATGGTCAAGGTAATATGGCAAGTGTTTCTACTAGTAATACACGTAGTTAATATGTAGACTATTGGCTCCCTTTATGCAATACCCATGTGATTACAGGGCTCCCACAGCCAAGTAATTTGAAATGTGATGTAGTTAATTTCCATTGATAAAAGGGAGAAGAGAAGTAGAATCAAGTTGATATAAAATAGGACTCCTATTGCGAAGTAAAGTAGCTTCAATTTGTGCCGAAGGACTCCTTTCCCCTTAAAATTAGGACTCCCTATTAATCTATTATCAGAGTGTAATCTATACTCTGGTAATTATAAGTAAGACTTAGGTGTATAGTTTATCAAGTACTCGTATGACTTTATTTTACGCTCAGTCTTAAAGAAATACACTCTGAAATCAAATGCATAGTCTAAAAAGTCTCATTTAAATGTAGTGTTACATGATTGTTGAGGTGGCACAGTGTGCTGCCTCTTTTGGCTTCTATGTCAATATCAGGGTATAGAAGATTTATTAAACGAATGTTATTATTGTAGAATGTGTTTAGGTTAAATTCGATATATATGTGTATATATTTTCTAAATGTCAATTTTTCTTAATCTTTAACATAATTAATAATCAAATATACTAATGGTCAAAGCATGAAATTCAACTGTTGTATGCTTTAAAAAACATAGGAAGTATAACATTGGAGTCAATCCTTGCACCTTAATAATTGAATAAGCATGGCGAATCTAGTTGGTCTGACTAGCTTAACTTTTACTCGTTGCTTATGCAGCTGGGAACATCCGAATCTGCCAATGCTGTATATTGGCGTGCAAAGAAGATGCTTGGGGATGCCTCGGTGCTTGCTGCAGTCGTACAATAATGTGCTTGTACATACACAATTAGTAAGCTATTTTAACTTTCGAAGAGAGGTCAAGAATCTAAACCATAGGAGCTGACCCTTGTAAAAGTTTTGAGCAAGTTAGTAGTTTAGAATTTATTCTTTCGTGAAGCGTGTAGACGAGTAACAATGTTGAGCATAGAAACAACATATTTATAGGACTTAAGTCCTGCTTGTGGGTTTTGTGGACACCACTTGTTTTAATGCACCTTTCAGGCTTGCTAAAACCTGGAAGTGCTGCTATACAATTTAGAAGTAGAACCAATTGCTTCATGTCAAATGGACTTGTATAATATTCTTTTTTCTTTATTTATCCAGGATAGGATCTAGATCTAAATCAGTAAATCTTATCTCTCTACTGCTTGTGATTGACTGCGGACTTGATAAGTTAATGCTAAGAGCCTAAGAAAACTCAAAATAACGTAAAATTATTTCGAAAATTCTTATACCGTTTTTTTTTAGAATCATGTAAGTTCCAAAAATTTCCATATTACACTTCTTTTACAAAAAAATTCCTCCCTATTATTTATTCTTTTACAAAAAATATGAAACTCTGAAAAATAAGTCCAAAAACGGGACATTATCCAACTTTCACAAAGAGATACTCCGTATCATGTTGTGGATGTGATGCCATAAATAGAATTTCGTCTAAACATATTTGGAGTTAAGTACAAAGTCGGGGTTTAAGTTTTTAAGATTTTCACCTTTTGGGACCTGAGTTTTTTTTTTTTTTCACCTTTTGGGACCTAAAATTAAGAATTCGGCAAGTTAACTCACCTGAGAAAATCTTAGTCTCTTAGCATTATTTTTTGGCAAAATAAAACATAATCCCTTCCTAAAAAACATAGTCCCTTAATAAATGCTGTCAAACTAGAAAACACAGGTCCTTGAATCTTATCCAAACCAAAAATAAGTGAAGGAATTTAGGTACAATTTTTGTAAAACGGATACAAATCCAAAAAACTAGCCGTTGGAGAAAGTAATACAAGGAGTATAAATACAATCAGATGCAGAGTTGAAGCCTCCATTATCTTCTCCAAAAGCTGAACCTGTAGAAAAAAAAAAAATGGCAACAGTAAATTATATTTGCAGATGCAACAAAAGGGCTGTTAGAAGGTTATCAAGGACAACCAGGAATCCATTTAGAAGATTCATCACATGTCAAAATTACAAGCAGCATAATGGTTGTGAATTTTGGGAGTGGGTAGATGAAGATTATGAATGGGAGGTGAAATATGAAATGATCAAAATGATACAAATGAATGAGATGCTGCAGAATATAGATGAACAAAGGAAGAATATGATTAGTTTTTGATTTTAATTATATTTCTTGTAATCATTATTGATTTTATGTATTTGTTTAAGTAAAGGAAAATTAGGATTACTTGTTACATCCTTAGTACCTCCAGACAGTTGTAGTACTTGATCCAATGTTGGATTGTGACTGAGTAGTTTGAGATGTATTGATTTGCTGCACAATTTAATAAAAAAATGATTTTATTTAAAAGTTTATTTTGTATGAGTGAATGAAAATAAGTAATATTGAAATGCAAATGCTTACCATAGCTTGTTTTGTGTAGGCATTTGGGTAAGTGTTTACTCCTACACCCCTGTTATGCATAGGAAGATTAAGTTGACTTTGTTGGGTGCTAGGACAGGCCTGTTGGTGCTGGTTTTGTTGTTGTTTCCTCTTCTTTGGGCCTGCATCAGAAGCTTGTCCTTTTGAGCTGTATGCTTATTTGATTTTTTTTTTTTATTTTGGGGGGGGGGGGGGGAGGGGGGAGGCTCTTTCAATGGCATTGGACATTTCCTTATGTTATGCCCCTGCTGCCCATTGCACTTTTGTGGCTGGCCTTTTCTAGACATTTTTATCCCTTCAACCTCACCAACTGATGGCTTCCTTTTTGCAGTTGGCCTATGTTGAATTTTTTTCACTTGGGGTGCTTGAATTGGAGCATATGGTGAATCAGGCCATTGTTGAGGTCCATTTAAAGGCTCTAAGGGAAAATCATAAGCCTTTAGGTATGTGTCTTTGCAGCCATCGGGATGCTTTACTGCCTTCCAGATGGCTGCAACAGCATGATTACATGGCACACCACTTAACTGCCATGCATTGCAGCTACAAGTTTTGTCAAGCAAGCTGACAACATACCTGGTTTGTGTAAGCACCCTCTCTGACTCCATATGTGAAATGACAATCCTAGAATGCTGACCATCCCCTTGCATCAATCTTGGATTTTTCTAATCTGAGTTGGATCCTAGGACAGATATTGATGTCTTTCTTGGCTATATAGTCTTTTTTTTTTTTTTTTTTTTTTTTTTTTTTTTTTTTTTGTGCAATCTCTCCATTTGGCTTTCCCTAATGTCCTCTAACATTGTTATTATAGGCTTATGCCTACTGGACAAAATATATGTAGGGTTTTGTAGTGACCCGGCACTACGCGGAAGGAAACCCACCAAGACCCGCCCCTTAATTAAAGCAATTAAACAAGCATAATAAACTTAATCATACAAGATTAAGGACAAGAATTATACCTTTGACGCGTGCTTCACTCCTAAAGAGCTCTTACTTCAAAATCCCGAAAAGACGAGATCTCCGACGGATCGTACCCTCGACCCGACCCGAGCGTCCTAAGTCTTGAAGGTTAGTCAAGACCCGGACAAAATAACTATGAGTTTTACGAATAAAAGGTTTACTCTTTTCTTAGAGTTGCCTTTTTAATTCCACTCAAGGTTGTATCAAATCCCAATACCAAGCTTGGTATTTATAGGGAAATGATCCCTTGATTTCCAATCTCCCATCAATGTGGGAGAGTTGGTAAAATGACATTTATTTAATTCCAAAATTAAATAATTAATCAACTCAATCACAAATCGACACTTGGCACAATTATAGAAGAAACCAAGTGAGGACCAAGGCTTGGGGGGACCATTGCCTTGATCCCCAAGGCCATGTATTGGTCCCCACACACCATGCCCAAAACCGGGTCAAGGTGTGCTAGCTGGCTGCCAGCTAGCGTGCCAGCTGGGGCTGCTAGCTAGCGTGCCTTGCTCCCCAGCACCCAGCCAGCCAGCCAGTACACGCTGCTGCTGGGCTGTGCTGGTGCTACGTGCTGGCGCTGGGCGCTGCTAGCATTAGCCCCAGCAGCCCATGCACTCACTCTTCGCGCCTCATTGCTAGCACAGCCAGCATGCGTGCTGCTAGCGAGCCACGCATGCTGGCCACACTGTCCCTCGCACCATTCGCATACCCCATCGCACACACGCACTGGCACGATGCCTACGCTAGCACTAGCCAGTGCCTAGCACTGCTTGTGCTTGATGCGAGGCATGCGCACACGAACACGCACTCGCATGCGTGGTGCTGCTACCTAGCACCTAGCCAGGCATTGCACACACACGCACCAGCCACGCACCACGCACCACGCACTGCCAGCCCACACGCATCAATGTGCCTGTGATGCGAGGCTGCTTGTGCGAGGCTAGTGTGCGAGGCTACGAGTGCCAGGCCTAGCATCGAGCTGGCGCGCAACCCCTCGCATGTGTTGCGATGCTTAGTGCTGCCATGCGAAGGCTAGCACTCAAGCACACGCACATGGCGCGCCATTGCCAGGCAGCCAGCCATGCGAGCACTTGGTGCTTGCGATAGTGCTGCTAGGCCAGGCACGCACCCACGCAGCACCTAGTGCTTGCGATGGTGCGCCTGTGCCACGGCCCTGCGATAGGCGCCATATGCACCCAGGCACCACGCTAGCATGCTTTCTAGCTGCTATGGGCTGCCTGGTGCCTGTGTGGCCTGCGATGGCTTCCATGCGCACCTAGGCACCCATGCTAGCTTGCGATGGTGCCTAGCACAACATGGTGCGCCTAGCATACACATGGTGCACCTAGGTTTGCAATGAGCTAGCCTAGCCTAGCTATGGCTACGCTCATGCTTGTCGATTGTGATTTTGCGACGCTCGGTATCGACGCCCTAGGCTCGATTTCCGACGTCTGTATTCGTAAAACTCTGTCGACTCATTAAATCCTTTCGAATTAATTCGACGTCTCGGATCGGAGATTCGATTGGGCTCGACCCGAAGGGTTCAGTTAAGATTAAGCTGTAACATCAATTGTACCTTGATATTACTGATCGGAAGCGGCCTCCACCTAGGCATTCCGATCACTTGACCTTACTGAAGAATTACCTCTGTAATAATTCTGAACCCTCTATCGGAATAATACACTTGTTGGAAGGACACCATTCCTTTCAATCTCCCACTTGTCCTTCCGGACAAGTGTGCATATTGTGTATAGCTCATTTCCTTTGTCTCTTAATGTTTCTTCGTGAACTATAAGGTAAGATTCTTTGTCATCCTTATTACGTTCAGAAGTGTTTCTCGATCTCCGAGTTCGACTGTCAATAAGAAGATGATTTCTAAAATCTATCTGAGCATGGCCATGCATTTTACAGTCTCACTCTTCAAGCGACCTTTTAAACAACAAAACATTTTCCCTATTGTTAGTAGGGGGACAATCCCAGTCTTGTATTGTAAGTTCTTCTTACTGAGAGGACATAGACTCCCGAGTGTTCCCGTTATGATCCCCAGTTACGGCTGACGTTAGGAAACATCAAAGAGCCTAGTACTCAAACAAGAAAACTTCACAGTACTCATGGTCTGAGGAAATAAGTTCCGATAGCCATAATGAGAAATGTACTTATGACAAAATTTAATTTTCTTAAAGTACTCTCATAAGTCTTATCCAGTACAGTTCCAAACTATACCTGTGCAAATGATTTATCACTGTCACGTCCTCGCAGCACAAGAAACGGTGCTGTAAATCATACTACACACTAATCTATTACGGTCATCAATCGTCCATATGTTAGACGACCTCGATTAGGGATAATTTTCGATTTAATATTCAATGTTCACTTAACAGGTGTTTCTTTATCCAAGACATGGTCTTGATACCCTGTCTTGAATATTTCCGTAAATCGAATGGACTCATTATTTAATTCTAAACCACAATAAATAGTAATGGAGTGAATGATAATTTTACACAAAATTAATTACTCCATTAATGAATGGTTTTAGTACAGTGTCTTACATTAAATCAACCCTGTTTAATTAAAACACTTGTACAGGGAATATCAAAGCCAGTCTCCAACATGCTTGATTCCCATTGCCTCAACGTGTTTGTTGTGTTTCACTTGAGGCAAAGGTTTAGTCAAAGGATCGGCCACATTATCATCCGTGCCGATCTTACAAATTCTGATTTCACCTTCGGATTTCCATTCCCTTATCATGTGAAATCGCCGTTGCACGTGTTTGACCTTCTGGTGTTCTCTCGGCTCCCTGGCCTGAGCGATAGCTCCATTATTATCACAATAAAGGTCTATCGGTCCCTTGATTGAGGGTACAACACCAAGTTCACTGATGAACTTGCGAATCCAAACAGCTTCCTTGGCTGCTTCCGAAGCGGCCAAGTACTCGGCTTCAGTTGTAGAGTCTGCAGTGGTGCTCTGCTTGGCACTCTTCCAGCTGAACGCTCCTCCATTCAGACAGAATATATACCCCGACTGTGACTTGAAGTCGTCTCTGTCAGTCTGGAAGCTAGCGTCGGTGTAACCTTCAACAACCAGTTCTTTGTGGCCTCCATATACCAGGAATTTATCCTTGTTCCTTTTCAGGTACTTAAGGATGTTCTTGGCCGCAGTCCAATGCGCCTCTCCTGGGTTCGATTGGTATCGACTCGTTGCACTCAGGGCATACGATACATCCGGCCTTGTACATATCATGGCATACATGATCGATCCGATTAGCGAAGCATATGGGATCTGATTCATTCTTTCTCGCTCAACAGGTGTCTTTGGACACTGTTTCTTGCTGAGAGTTGTGCCATGGGACATGGGTAAATGCCCTCTTTTGGCATTTTCCATGTTGAATCGAGCCAGTACCTTATCAATGTAAGTACTCTGGCTCAATCCAATCATCCTCTTAGATCTATCCCTGTAGATCTTGATGCCCAATATGTACTATGCCTCTCCTAAGTCTTTCATTGAAAAGCACTTTCCCAACCAGCCCTTTATGGACTCTAATAATTTTGTGCTGTTTCCAATGAGCAGTATGTCATCAACATACATGACTAGGAATGCAATATCACTCCCACTGACCTTCTTGTATACACAAGACTCATCTGGATTCTTAATAAAACCAAACTTGCTGATGGCTTCAGATTCCAACTCCTGCTAGCTTGCTTTAGTCCTTAAATGGACTTCTTCAGCTTGAAAACCTTTCCAGCGTTGCCTGGATCGACAAAACCCTCTGGCTGTGTCATATACACAGTTTCTTCCAAAATCCCATTAAGGAAGGCGGTTTTGACATCCATTTGCCATATTTCGTAATCGTAATATGCAGCAATCGCTAGGATAATCCGGACGGACTTTAGCATTGCAACTGGTGAAAAAGTTTCATCATAGTCAATCCCGTGGACTTGTCTATAACCTTTTTCCACCAGTCTAGCTTTGTATACCGATACATTTCCATCTTTGTCTCTCTTCACTTTGAAGATCCATTTGCAACCAATGGGTGTATAACCCTCGGGCAAATTCACCAAGTCCCAGACTTGATTTTCAGACATGGAGTCCATCTCGGATTTCATGGCCTCTTGCCATTTTGCAGAGTCAGGGCTCGTCATAGCTTGCTTGTATGTCGCCGGCTCATCACCATCCATAACTAGGATGTCCTGATTATCAGTTAAGAGAATACCGAGGTATCTGTCTGGTTGAGATCTTTTCCGTTGCGACCTACGTAGGGTAATCGGTTGAGCATTTACATTGTCTGTTTGACTCTGACCAATCTTCTCAGATGCTTCCAAAGTATCTAGATTGTCAGTTTTGTCAGGTTGACATTGTTGCTCGTCCTCTCGAACTTCATCGAGTTCGATTTTCCTCCCACTTGTCATTTTGGAAAAGTGATCCTTCTCCAAAAAGACACCATCATGAGCAACAAACACTTTGTTCTCGGATTTATTGCAGAAGTAATACCCTTTGGTTTCTTTTGGATATCCCACAAAGAAACACTTATCCGATTTGGGGTGAAGTTTGTCCGAAATCAATCGCTTGACATATGCTTCGCATCCCCAAATCTTGAGAAAAGACAACCTAGGAGGTTTCTTAGTCCATAATTCATATGGAGTCTTTTCAACAGCTTTTGACGGAGCTCTATTTAGTGTTAGTGCTGCTGTTTGTAGCGCATGTCCCCAAAACGAGATAGGGAGTTCACTAAGACCCATCATTGACCGAACCATGTCTAACAAGGCCTGATTCCTCCGTTCGGACACTCCGTTCCATTGAGGAGTTCCGGGAGGTGTCAACTCTGAAAGAATGCCATGTTCTTTCAAGTGATCGTCGAATTCATGACTCAAATATTCGCCACCTCGATCCGATCGAAGTGCTTTAATTTTCTTGCCAAGTTGATTTTCAACCTC